TGTACAAATCATGTAAATGTTCACAAATTATATGCAGTAGAGTACATTAATACAGTATGTTCCCTAGACTATCCATTTCAATTTCGAATTTTTTAAACTGTTAAATAAACTTTATAATGAATTAGATGAATAAAAACATCATTTGATTTATAGTTATAACGGAAAATCATCGTTTGTAAAGTGAAAGGCATAGAGTCTATGTGAAATGATCATTGGTCAATTATAAAACCAGCCTATTTCATAATTTGGTTTTCTTTTAATATTGATTTTAGATTTTCCCTAAAATGATGTTCCAGGGCCCAAAAGGTCACATAGCACAAATATGTGAAGTACACCTGCAGTATGGAAACAGTACATCAAAATGGCCGTTTTACACTTTTTTCTAGTAAATTCCCCTCTAATATATATTCTATTCTCTATGGTTACGCATATTCGGCAAATAACAAAGACAAAGAAAGAGCCTTTTCTGTGCCGCCTACGCCTAACTCCTTTGGGCTACTGCCTCAGGGTCATTAAAAACAAAACACACACAAATCTTGAAAAGACGACATCTAGTGTCCAATCAGTAATTTTAATTAATCTATGACTGCAGAACGCGCCGAAAGCTTTATTTAGGTTGATACAATGTTCTTTTCAACAAAATTCTGGACTCTACGTGTCTCTCATATTAGCTTACAACATTTATCAACGATTTATCCGGAATTCCAGAGTTCGGAACCTTTTCCAGAATTGAAATCATATTCCGGACCAATGCCGTAAAATGTAAACCGGAATTTCAGTGGATACTAGGGTTTCCAGCGAACGAAAACTTTCGCGAAAAAATGCAAACATTTTCGTTCGTATTTCACAAAATTTTTCGCAAAATTTTTCATTTTTTCGCGAAAATGAAATAAGCAAAAATATGCGAAATTTTCCGAAAACTGTTTTCGCGAGAAAAAAAATCCGCGAAAACTATAAGCGTTGTAGCTGCAACAATTAATTGCGCAGAAAACTTATGGAATTCTCTGATCTAAGAGCTCAGCATTAAAAGTTTTATTATACCATAATTAATAATTTCTCTTCTATATTTTTTTCCGCAAAATGTTTAATAGCTTAAAAAGGTTTATTAAAACATTTTCTTAATTGTTTCGTAAGTACAAATCACTTTAGAGAAACAGAATTAGAAAAAATAATTTTCGAAAGAAAATAATCGACTCATTTAGTTGATTTAAGCGAACGCTCTTGAATAAATGTTATAAAAATGAGGAGCGTTATAGAATAAGATATTATAATAATTATATGTGGGGGGGGGGGATGTTGTTAATCGTTTTTGTAAACGATCGTTTCGTTTTCGGAAAAAACGATCGNTAGACATACATTCAGATCTACAGGGGGTGCAGATAAAGGTGATAAAGGAATGTTTAAACAATTACGTTTATTGCTTAATTGCCGGTTCTATTGGATTGGGAAACCTTTGTCAGAAAACCTGGATATAAAACCCGGATAGAAAACCGGGATAGAAAACCTGGAAAGAAAACCGGGATAGAAAATCTGGAAAGAAAATCTGGTATAGAAAACCTAAATATAAAAACCGGATAGAAAACCTGGATAGAAAACCTGGATAGAAAACCTGGATAGAAAATCTGGATATAAAACCCGGATAGAAAACCTGGATAGAAAACCTGGATAGAAAACCTGGATAGAAAACCTGGATTGAAAACCTGGAAAGAAAACCTGGAAAGAAAACCTGGAAAGAAAACCTGAAAAGAAAACCTGGATAGGCAACCTGGAAAGAAAACCTGGATAGAAAACCTGGAAAGAAAACCTGGATAGAAAACCTGGACAGAAAACCTGGAAAGCAAACCTGGAAAGAAAACCTGGAAAGAAAACCTGGATAGAAACCTTGAAAAGAAAACCTTGAAAAGAAAACCTTGATAGAAAACCTTGATAGAAAACCTGGATAGAAAATCACTGCAAACTAAACAGAAGGAGATGGTGAAGTTCTTGCGTCATAAATAGTACGACTTTGTGACCTCGTAGCTCCTCTAAGTAAGCACCATTAAGAGAAAAGCTAAGGAGTTAAGCCTTTGCCTTATCCCCATATCTTTACAACCCAATGTTGTGGACTTTGCATATTTCAAACTATGAATTTAGATTGATCAAATAATCTAAGCTTGAAATATCAAAGATTTGCACCATCAGATTGAAAAGATATAGGGATTAGAAAATTGAGTTTTTGGCAAAGACTCAATTCCTTTATGTGATTATATGGTTAGAAATTTATAACATTTTTGTTCTACTCAAGAACTCTTCAATTATATGAGCTATGTTCTGCTCAAGAACTCTTCAACTACATGAGCTATCTTCTACTCAAGAACTGTTCAACTACATGAGCTATCTTCTACTCAAGAACTCTTCAAATACATGAGCTATGTTCNCTCTGAAATATTACCTGAAGTTAGTATGAAGATCTGAGTCCTAAATATTACCTGAAGTTATCATGAAGATCTGAGTCCGAAATATCGTCAATGTTTGTGCTGGGGGATATCCCTAGAATAATCTTGGCCTGAAAATATTTATCTAAACAATAAATAACAATTTATGTGTCACTTGTTTACAAAGGTTTCTGTGTGGAGTTCATAGGGTTGTTAATTGTTTTTAAAAACGATAGTTTTCCGTTTCGGTTTCCTTTTTTCCAAAAAAACGACCGCATCGTTTTTCTAAAAACCGATGAGTCACTTGTTTAAAACTTTTAAAAAACAAAAACACAAATTATACAATCGTTTTTTAAACGATTGTTTTTCGATAACGAATCTGAGTTTTATGACAGTTAATTTCATTTTTTTCAGGAAGATAAGTTTATCAATGTTGACTTTATTATTTTTTTTTCGAGAGAGAAATAACCTAAATTTTTACTGACACAAGGATTTTATGATATAAGGGTTTTCCGACCAAAAAATGTATTTTGTCTAAAGAAGGTCGTTAACGAATAATAACGATCGTCAAAAATGAAACACTGCCTACCTTTGATAACGAAACGACGAACTAAAACTAAAAAAGGACTTCTTCACTTTTTAATTTTAAAATCGATCTTTTTCAAAAACGACCGATTTTATCTTCGTCATTTTTTAAAAAATGTGAAAACTATCGTTCCCCAGGAGTTCATACAATTAACAAAACGGTTGAGCCGAGCAAATTTTGTTAGGACCTTAAATTGGTCTAGCTACGAGTCAGGGGAAAATTAGTTCTCAAACTTCGGACAAAATTCTGCGAAACGATTAAAGAGAACTTTTCATGGAAAGTGAACTAAATTTTATTCGCATCATAAAATATAAATAAAATACAACTTTTAATATAAATTGCAAAAGTGGAAAGTTCAAGCAATACAGATAATGAACAAAATCGAAAAGAATGAGAATAAAGATAAATAAATAAATAATCTATTGTGTGAATTTAATCATTGTTATTAATCGTCATAATTTTAGTAAACACACTTCACGGTATAATATTAGTTAAACAGTACACGTCATAATTTTAGTAAACACACTNTTATCACGGTATAATATTAGTTCAACAGTAAAAGCCATAATTTTAAATAAACAGTATTTAGGTCATAATTTTAATAAAAAGTAAAAGCCATCATTTCAGGTAAACATTGCAGGCCCTAACTTAATTTAGTAAACAGTAAACGCCATAATTTTACAGGCTATAACTTTAGATAAATAGTGCAGGCCATAATTTTAGATAGACATATACAGGCCATAATTTCAGAAAAACACTACAGGCCAACATTTTAGATTAACAGTACAAGCCATAGTTTTAGATAAAGCCATAATTTAGGCAACACAGCTAAGGCCATAATTTTAGATAACAGGATAGGCTTTATAGTTTTAGGCAAACAGTACAAGCCATAGTTTTAGGTAAACAGTACAAGCCATAGCTTTAGATACACAGAACAGGCCATAATTTTAGGTAAACAGTACAGGCCATAGTTTTAGATAGACAGAACAGGCCATAATTTTAGTTTAACAGCTGAGGCCATAATTTTAGATAAACAGCACAGGCCATAATTTTAGATAGCAGTACAGGCCATAATATTAGTAAACAACACAGGCCATAACTTCAGTAAACAACACAGGCCATAATTTACAAGCATTACTTGAAACGAACATTTCCACAGAACAGCAAGCAAAGCATTACTTGAAACGAACATTTCCACAGAACAGCAAGCAGTAGTAAATGTTTGATTTTATCGTAAACACAAAACAAAGATTTTGCTGCATTGGTTAAATAAAAATAAAAACATTTCTTAAACTTCTGGAAACCTCAGTTTACAGTTTTATCAATTTGTTTTCAACTTTCTGAAAAGAACTGACGGCGTAATTTTAAGTGACCCTCAACTTTAAATAAAGACAAGTGCGAGTGCGATTCACAACGGTACCAGCTTCCTCTAACCACAATGAGACAGATATCGTCGTTAAATTATCTTTTAAAGTAGTCAAGTTCCTTTATATGGATCTGCTCCATTAATACCCAGAGAAGCCTCAATTGAAAATAATTAATTTTTAGTTAGAAAAATATGAAAATATCATTCTTTCTGGAGGGTGACTTGAAACCAGAAAGCACTGTGTTTTACCCCTAATTTCAATTACTAAAAACCTGAACATTCATTTTATGTTTGATTAATTTTCTTCAAAAATTTCACGAATTTGAATTGCTTGTGTTAAACAAATAAAATGATTTGAATCTAATAAAATCTTAAAAACTGGTTTAGCCTGTACCTTGTGGTGTACGTGGGCCAGCATGTAGTGAAGAATTTATAAAATGTCGTGTTCTTAACTTTTTAAAAATGAAATGCTGCAGATATCTAGTTTTTTAATTAAATGATTATATGGAGCTCTTTGAAACCGTTCCCGCATATTCATGGCAATCTAATTATTTTTGCAATTACTGAGATTTACGTATATAAGTATAAAACCCATTGAAAAATTGTCAAGACGACATTTCAAAAAATCTTTGGGGTAAACTGCATTAGTTCATTCTATAATGATGAATGATGATATTTACCCTATTCTGATCCATGGTTGGTCTGAACGCAGCCATTTTAAAGCTCTTCGCCATCCACTAGACATACATTCAGATCTACAATATTCCACTAAACATACATTTAGATTTACAATATTCCACTAGACATACATTCAGATCTACAATATTCCACTAGGCATACATTCAGATCTACAATATTTCACTAGACATACATTTAGATCTACAATATTCCACTAGACATACATTCAGATCTACAATATTCCACTAGACATACATTAGGGTGCGGTGCAAATTTGATTTTTGCCAAAATAAAATTAACATTTAGTTAAATCTGAAGGGATAACAGTAAGAGAACCCTGTCTTGTTTCGATAGGCATCAAGACCAATTAAAAATTCGGATATTTTTCACCTTGAAAATAGAAATGGAATAAATCCGAATTCATTTTTCCATAATGGATCCAGTTTTTTCTATGATGGTTCCAAAGTCCTCAACCAGTTTTGTTTACTCAATATTCATTTTACTAATCCTAACAACAACTACATGGATTCAATAAGCACTGGTTTATGATTTACGCGTGAGAGAAGTAATTCACGTAGAGTAAAAATACTAAAATTTTATTTACTTCTGCCCTGTTGAATTGAGAGACTATCAAGGGGCGCAGATCTTCCAGATTTAAGACCCTCGACATAACGCAAAAATAACTTCCCTCCTCTTCTAAACAATAACGAATTTAAGTTTACTTTATTGTAAATTTGGATAAATGATTTTACATTTATACAGGCTTTGTTTAAGCTTACATTCAAAAATCACAATAAATCAAAAAACACACAACAAAATAACCATATATAATAATATCAATAACGTAAGAATCTGCTATCTGCATTTATATATGTATACAGGGTGTCTCAATAAACTGGGAATTCAGCGACGATTTTGATATCGTCTGTAAATGATTTTTAAATTTAGTTGGTGCTGCCTAATAGGAAAGCTTTAATCCGTCTACTCGAGTTCAGAAATTGGTTGTTAATTTTTTTATTGCTTACTGTATTGTACTTAATATTAGAAATTCGTTTATACAAACACAATACAGTTTCTCTTCACTGTTTATCTTGCTGAATACAGAACATCATGCAAAGTTTTGTAGAATAACAAACAGTCTTTTACTGTTTACGAAAAATATAATCTAGCAGACGTAACATTATTTTAACCATTAAGATTAGATAACACAACGCTAATTCTTTACAAAGACGAGTTCGAATTCGTCTCTGAATTCCGATGTTTATTGTGCCACCCTGTATCTTGTGTTTAAAAAGTGAAAATGAAAAATTCTAATATCAGTCTGCGGGGATCAAACATGAAGTTTTATAGAAAAAATATTAATTAATCAATCATCACAAAATCTTCGAACTCAAAGAAAACATTCAATCTTAATTCTGGGATTAAATGCAGAAAATTTCAAGAAAAAAAAAATTAGATTTCTTTCAAGGACTAACATGCAATAAGAGCAAGTAACTATTTAGAATTTTCAGCGATGTAATACCAATACGACAATTTTGCAGACTTTGACAGGCTGTACAAAAAATAAAATATTAACGTGAATATTTGATTTATGAATTATACTACTTGTACAATATGTTGCATGGCATGTACGAATTATGTCGGGATATGTACGTATTCTGGATTAGCTAATTAACAGTATAAAACAGCTAAAATTTCTTTAAGAATATTGGATACACAATTCGTTTTTCGTTTTGTACCTTTTAATGAATAACGAGCAGTTTAGAGGTATCTTGAAGCAATGACAATATTTAAATATCCTCAGGTTTAGGTTGATTTCATTTTCACAATTTTCTTACAGAGTTTTCATTCTTGCCATTTCAATCTACACATGGAAGACAAAATTTTAAATTTATAACAGATTTTGAAATTTACAATAGTGATACATTTTAAATTCATGTTATTTCAACAATTTAAGACGACATTTTTTATCTGCAGGAATGTCTATCGTATACAATTGTAAGTATGACAACTGTACCATAAAACTCTAAGATAGTTGTTATAAATGCACTTGGTTAAATCACGGGAATGAGTTTAACCGCTGATATCTATCTTATTCTTGGATAAAATATCATGAAGTTTAACCCCTGATATCTATCTTATTCTTGGATAAAATATCATGAAGTTTAACCCCTGATATCTATCTTATTCTTGGATAAAATATCGTGAAGTTGGCGACATTTACTGATTAATCTCATTCCAGAGGCAAATTTAGATCTTCCATGCTCTCGCCCATGTCTAAATACAGAATTCATCAATATAATAAAACAAGACATATGTATACATGTTCCCTATGGCCGGCAAGACGAGTGGACAAAATTAAAACATTAAAAATATCATTGTGCAATGATAGTAAAAGTGGAAAGCTTAGAAGCTGGTATTTATTAAAACAATAAAAATATCATTGTGCACTGAGAGTTAAAGTGGAAAGCTAAGAACATTGTATTTATTAAAACAATAAAAATATTAGGGTGCAATGAGAGTACAAATGGAAAGCTAAGAAGCTGGTATTTATTAAAACAATAAAATTATAATTGTGCAATGAGAGTACAAGTGGAAAGCTAAGAACATAGTATTTATAAAAACAATAAAAATATCATTGTGCAATGAGAGTACAAGTGGAAAGCTAAGAACATGGTATCTATTAAAACAATAAAATTATCAGGGTGCAATGAGAGTGCAAGTGGAAAGCTAAGAACATGGTATCTATTAAAACAATAAAATTATCAGGGTGCAATGAGAGTGCAAGTGGAAAGCTAAGAAGCTAGTATCTATTAAAACAATATAAAAATATCAGGGTGCAATGGAGAGTACAAGTGGAAAGCTAAGAAGCTGGTATCTATTAAAACAATATAAAAATATCAGGGTGCAATGGAGAGTACAAGTGGAAAGCTAAGAACATGGTATTTATTAAACAATAAAATTATAATTGTGCAATGAGAGTACAAGTGGAAAGCTAAGAACATGGTATTTATTAAAACAATAAAATTATAATTGTGCAATGAGAGTACAAGTGGAAAGCTAAGAACATGGTATTTATTAAAACAATAAAATTATCAGGGTGCAATGAGAGTACAAGTGGAAAGCTTAGAAGCTGGTATTTATTAAAACAATAAAAATATCAGGGTGCAATGAGAGTACAAGTGGAAAGCTAAGAAATGAGTGAAAAAATTATATTCTTTAAAGATTTTATACTACTAAATGCGGATTTGCAGTTTTGGTCGGAAAATAACGAGACATTAGAGACATAAAGATTAAAGAATTTTAACTCCATTTCCTAGAATTCAGAGAAAAATTTCCCTTTATTCTTAGAAAAAAAACTTTAAACTTTCAAGTCGGACAGGTTGTGTTTAGAAATTCCAAAATAAATAATAATAATAAAAAAGAGTCTAATAGCTTAAACACAAAAACTATAATTTTACCCCTTGCATTGACGTCAAAAAAGTATTGAAAAATTAGAACTGAAATTATCCTCTCAATACTTTTGAGTTGAAGAAAAATAAGGGATTGAACCCTGATTATTCATGTCTTGAAATATAAAGTATTGTCTAACCTGTGGTTGAGGTAGCTGTGAAGGAGTTCAGCTAGACTAGTCTGAATCTGTTCAACTCGAGCTCTGCAAAACAAATAAAACATTATTTATATAATTTTAGTTTTTTTTCCAGTGGCCCAAATTAATATTCATTCAGTATAGTGTTGGATCCGGGATCCGCATATTATTGCGGTCCCGGATCCAGGGAGCTAACACACGGGCAGACGTAGTACACTTGAATTTCCGAGCCGGGTCAACCTTTCCGGTCCCAAAGTAACGTACCGAGCTCTATGGACAGGACTAGCCGGTGCAACAAGGTTGACACGGTCAGACTTTATTCTTAATGTAGGTTCAATTTACTTTTACCAAAGGGGCAGAGGTGCGTGAAAATGATACATATCTGGATCCGGATCCAGACCCGAACACTTTATTTATGGAGATGACCCATGTCTGGACATCATCCTAGTTTCTGGCTTGGGACTAATAAACCTATTCAGGTGTACAAAAAATCCTCTTTTTTTTGGGGGGGGGGGGAAAGNGTGAATTTTTTTCCCGCAAAACAGATTAATGCTAAATTTCGCGAAAGAAGCGAACATTTTTATAAATTTTCGCGAAATTGTCGCATATTTTTTCCCCTGAAATTCCGCATCGTTTTCGCTGTCTTTCGAAAAATTCATTTTCGCGAAATTTCAATGATATATGCTATGAAGAAAAAACTCACCGGGATGCGAAATACGAAAAAAAAATTCGCGAAATTTCGCTTTTTTGTGAAGTTTTCTTTCGCTGGAAACCGCTTCTAATCTGGACAAACTGTTCTATTTCATTAATGCTTTTAGATATGAACAAATAGTAAATGAAAGATATGAAAATTATGCGTAATTATTGATCACAATTATTAGTATTATTATTAACATTAACTTTCTACTTTAAATGTCCCGATAATTTCCTTGAATTTGAACAAGAAAAGAGCGGAATTCACGGAAATATTTTTATCTTTTACGGATCTATCTTTGAATAATGTCGGAACTATTGTGTGAGTATTGTCTATCTTGAACGCTTGATCTCGATATCCAATCAATGCTTGATCCCTCAACTAAATATATTCAGGATATGAGGTTTCATACTGTAATTAGTTAAAACAAACAAAATCAATAACTCTCTTTAAAATCCAAACACTTGTAACCTGTTATAATTAATATCATTTAGAAATTTTATCCAACTCAAAACTACTTATTTTCAATATATTTTTACAACACGGACATAAAAATGTTAACAAAACAAATCCCGATATTTCTAATATATGCAATGGATAAACTTCACAATTTTTTACAAAAAATGTTGTCTCTCAAAATCTTAGTAATTCCAGAGACTCTGGAGACTTCTATAAAATGGAATTTAGTCTCTTTCAACAATAAAAGTTAATTTTTTCATTAAATAAAAATTAAGAGAAAGGCTAAAATTTCACCTCCGGCCAAGATCCAATCTTGTTAAGAAGCCTGCAGAAGTCCTGCTCCGCCTCCTCGGTTTGAAGAAAGGGCGTGGCAAAGAATTGAGAATATTTCAGTCTTTTCTCATCCAAACCTGATAAACATTTCAGTTATGGCTAAAATACAAAACCGACATGATTTCCCCCTCTAATTTTGTGCTTAGGGGACTAGTGAAAACGGGTAAAAATGCTTAGATCCTTGTCTATTTTGTGAAAATGACTTCAGGCTGAACAAACATTTAAGAAAATCCGCATCAGTTGGCAACGCAGGCCTGAAGAATTATGGCCAAGCAATCGGCTATCCCAGACCAACAATAATAAAAAAATGTATACCTCCTTTTCCCAAATTAGAAATTGAAACCCATTATCCCTCCCTTTCAGAAGAATTAAGCTGCTAGGGTTTCAAATCGGAATTCCGTTGCGCGAAACTGCTCTCGTATAGCGCGAAATTGTGCGGAATTGCGCGCAAGTAAAATCCACTTGCGTTGGACACCCCAATGAAACTGACCTACGCACTCCAAACTCTTGAGTTTACGATCCAACTTCTCCACCTCACCAGAACCCAGGAGACCAGACAACTGCTTGCTCCAGTTCAACTCAGGGTTGAAGAACGTAGAGATCTTCAACTTGATCAGGATAGGGATATTCTTTGTAAGAATCTAAAATATATGGATACTCTTGGTTAGAATCATAAATATAATAACTTACTACTTAATTTTAAAAATGTATGGATATGGATATTCTTGGTTAGAATCTAGAATATATGGATATTCTTGGTTATAATCAAGAATGTATGGATATGGATATTCTTGGTTAGAATCTAGAATATATGGATGGGGATATTTTTGGTTAAAATCTAAAATATTTGGATTGGGATATTCTTGGTTAGAATCTAGAATATATGGATAGGGATATTCTTGGTTAGAATCTAGAATATATGGATTGGGATATTCTTGGTTAAAATCTAGAAAATATGGATATTCTTGGTTAGAATCTAAAATATATGGATAGGGATATTCTTGGTTAAAATCTAGAAAATATGGATATGGATATTATTGGTTAGAATCTAAAACATGGATAGGGATATTCTTCGTTAAATCTAGAATAAATGGATATGGATATTCTCGGTCAGAATCTAGAATACATGGATAGGGATATTCTTGGTTAGAATCTATAATATATGGATATGGATATTATTGGTTAGAATCTAGAATATATGGATATTCTTGGTTAGAATATAGAATATATGGATAGGGATATTCTTGGTTAGAATCAAGAATATATGGATAGAGATATTCTTGGTTAAAATCTAGATCATATGGATTTGGATATTCTTAATTAGAATCTAGAATATATGGATACGGATATTCTTGGTTGGAATGTAGAATATATGATTATTCTTGGTTAAAATGTAGAATATATGGCTAGGGATTTTATTGGTCAGAATCTAAAAATATAAAATATAAAATATATGGATATAGATATTCTTGGTTAGAATCTAGAATTTATGGATATAGATATTCTTAGTTAGAATCTAGAATATAAGGATATGGAAATTCTTGGCTAGAATCTAGAATATATGGATATGGATATTCTTGGTTGGAATGTAGAAAATATGAATATTCTTGGTTAGAATGTAGAATATATGGGTATGGATATTCTTGATTAGAATCTAGAATATATGGATAGGGATATTCTTGGTTAGAATCTAAAAATCCCTGTCTTGTTTTGAAAGCTGCTGCAGTTCACGTAACCTTTATAAAAACAATAATTATTAAAATTAGAAACTACGTAGGTTCAGAAAATAAGTTTATTTTTCAAGTGTAAAAAAATCAATTCTTATCTCCTTTCTCCAAAAATATTTGTTTAATATCTATATATATCCTTGGGACTGATTGCTTCATAAGACAACAAAATTTAAAAGGTTTCTATTCAAAGATTGGACCACAAGTGCAACCACTATCGAAGTCAAACTTAAACCGAACCATAAATCACGTTTACGATATTGGTGCAGTTCTAAAGATTACAACAGAAACTATTTAGTTGGGCTAAGGGTAGAGAGTATTTGAAAACAAGAGGAAATATTGCCTGGGGTGTTAATGATAACTTTATCTATAAATCAAATATCCTAGAAGGGGGAAGGATATGGGAAGGGGGAGGGGAAGGAGATTGGAAGGGACAGAATTTCTTTTCACCTGTAAATGATGTCGCTTTAAAATTTACATATTTTCAGAGGATAAATTTCAAGCAGAACTCCAGAATTGTGTTTAAAAAAAACAACAACTCATTACTTCAGAGATGATGAGCGTAAAAGCGTCAAGTTTGATATTTTACCTTAATGCGAAGTTTTTAGTTCTGAGTTTCATAGTTCCGGCCAGCTGTGCTAAACCAACCTCAGATAACATGGAACCAAATGCCACCATTCTAAATATTCAGTTAGCAGTTAGAGTCAGACGAAAGTTTAATATGGACCAGATAATGGTATTTATTGCTTACAAAAAAATGTCCTCTCGTATTCTTCCGTTATTAATTTTTAATTGTTCAAAACCAATACATTTACGGTAAACGCTGAACAATTTTAAAAATCCTTTTACTTTTCTGTTAAATCCGTGCACTTCTCTGTAAAAATAAGCAATAAGGAGAGGTGGAGGGGGGGGGGGGGTCGCCTGAAAATTTCCCGTATAAGCGTAGTATCCATATCATTAACTTTACTCGTCTCCCAGAAGTCTGATATCTCGACGAGCTCGTTGATCAGAACCAGCTCCGTCTCCGAGATGAAAATGCTCGAGGATTCTCCAGATAAGCTCGGTGGATTCGAAACCTCATCGTAATCTAAAACCAGCAAAATATAGAATCATATTTTAATATTTCCTCTTACAATAATGTTAGAGGACCCCAGGGAAGATTTGCATTTAGAGAAAAAATGTTATTTTACTTAAAAATGTTCCATTTGAATCCATATCTTGCGACGACAGTTCCAACTGACCTCTTTTTTTTACCGTTTCATCACAATTTTCGATTATATCAATGTACGCGTATTACAAATATCAAGGTTAGAATAGAAACTGAATATTACTATTTTTCCTTTTTTTCAAATAAAAAATATTACAGAATTTAATGAAAATTTACATCATCAATTAAAGATGGTTAAATAATGCTTTCAAAACACAAATTTACGGAAAATTTGTTCAAAATTCATTGGTACAACATTAACTTGGTAAATAATTATTCGTAAGAAACCAGATCCTATGTAAGTGGGACCTGGAGCTGGTAAAGAGTACCCACCTATGCTGTTTCGTTTCTGTTTTCCCTCTTTACCCTCGGATGATTTTAATTTCTTCTCTGTATCCGTTAGAACCCAGGAAGTTTTCATACCAGCATCCTCACATAGCCGGTACCTTAACAAGCAATCAATCTTTCAAAATATCTTTATGTCGATATTTCATTAAATAAAGGGAGCCGCAAGTTTATAATGGTAATGGGGAGTAGTAAGTTTATAATGGTAATAGGGAGTAGTAAGTTTATAATGGTAATAGGGAGTAGTAAGTNTATGATATAATATATATTCTATTATTCCATCCAATGCGATCCAAAAAATTGATTAATAGAAATGCAGGGCAGAAACTCACCATGCTCGTAAACAAATGTAAGTGCGATGTCAAGTTGAAGAAAAAATTTCATACTGCAGAATGCATTTTGCAAGGGTGTAGTTTTTCTGTAAATCATAATTTATCTCTTTTATTGATTACTAATATTTACATCTAATACATTGTACAACCCCATATGCAATACATATTTCTGAAGAATGTACACGTACACAAAAAAACTTGCCGAAGTTCACAATGACACAGAAAGTGTATTTTCCGTCACAAAATGCTCTTTCAAGCCCAAACCAACCAGGATCAAAGATGGCACTATATTGATCTTTGCCTCTACCAACCCTGTACAGTGTACACTTGCATTACTGAAACTAAAACTACAAAACTGACCTGCAATACTGGCATTGTTTCCTCGTTTTCGAGTTTACTTCACAGTTTCCATTCTTGACGCAGAAATACGCTTTATTTGCCCCGCTGTTAACGGAACGCCGGAAGAAAGCTCGACAGGAGGCGCAAACCTAAATTAATTAGTATTGTTAAACACCAGCTGAAGTAACCGGCGTTGACCGTGGAATTTAAAAAAATCGAATTTTGGAAGAAAAATAAACGATTTAAAAATATTCTTATTTTAGAAGAAAAACAAATTTCGTATTTCTTTGCCTATGTCACCCCTGGGGTACTCAAGGGTCCCCTCATAAAATGTCGGTCCATTGAGTCGAGCTATAGGGAACATATATACGAATGTCTTGTTTTGTTATGTATATATATCAAGATCACCTGTCCACCGTAATAACTGTGTCTTCCCGCCTCCTCCCCGCACACTTTACAAGCTCGGAATATGTCGTCATCATTCTCATCTTTTCTTCTTCTTTTAATTCCCTAAATTAAAAAAACTGATTTTTAGGGAGTTTACAGTGCTACTAAAACTGACACATTTATTCCTTTCTCATGAGTTTTCAAAATATGTTGTGATAGAATAAGGATTTAAATCCCTTTATCATTCTTTTGTGCGAGTGCTTTTCAGTATTTAACAGTGGTCTTCCCATATATATCTACCGATTAATCTGAGTAGCCCCACCCCAATCAGAAATATGTATACAAGTGAGAAAATAGAAGTAGTCTCAAATTCATAGAACTATAATATAAAAAAATTGAAGTATTCCCCCTAAAAAGAAGGTGATATTATTGTATTTGAAGAGTATTTATTATGATTATAGCCTATTATCACAACAACATTATTATTTTTCATAACTATAAAGTTCACCTATTGCTAAAATAGTCATATTATTATGAAGTAGTATGAACTTTAGTAGGTTTCAACTACTTTCAAATTGAAAAACCCAAAAAAGCCCAAAACAAACAAAAACAATAAAACCAAAAAAACAATAAATCCACTGGGCTGGGTTTATCCAACCCTGGATGGATTCTTCTAATCCCTTAATAAACTTACCTTTCATGAAGAATATTAGATAAACCAATCTATGGGAGAGGTTCTGATCCTTCTAATCCCTCCATAAACTAATCTTTGGGGGAGGATCTTATCCTTCTAATCCTTCCGTAAACTAATCTTTGGGGGAGAATCTTATCCTTCTAGTCCCTCCAAACTAATCTTTGGGGGAGGATCTTATCCTTCTAATCCCTCCAAACTAATCTTTGGGGGAGGATCTTATCCTTCTAGTCCCTCCAAACTAACCTTTGGGGGAGGATCTGATCCTTCTAATCCCTCTTTTAATCCTCGCTTTCCTCCAGGCTTGCGTTGTGGCAGAATCATCGGCTTAGGAACTCCTACAGCTGGAAATAAAGGATTAAATACTAGTCAACTGACAGTATAATTATACCAGCTGTTTCAAGCTTCAAATTTAAAAACACAATAATATTTCATTAAAACAGGGACTTTAATATCAATTAAATGACTTAATTTCCTACTTTTTTAATCTTCAAAAATAGTTAGTTTGAAGTAGTACTTTAGTGATCGCCTTTCATATCAATAAAATCATGACGATTGTCTATTAGAGCTTTGATTTCTAATAAGCTTAAAAACTTATTGAAAAATCTATTTCTGAAATTTAATATTTCAATCACAGATGCACGAAATTTAAATTACAATTATAAAAATCTTATCCAGATGTGTACTGCTTATCCCATCTGTAGTTCATAACAATGCAAAATAATAAGTAACCCTTAATTTATCTGTACCTTCAACTAACAAACATTAATCAACTTAATTAAATCAAACAACAGTTTAGAAGGAATATTTCCCATTAGAATTTACAATTTCTATTTGTTTACAACTTTATGTTGTAATGTAACTCGGATGTGAAATTATAACTTAAGTAGAAAGTCGTCTTTATTATATTGATTTATACGGCGACCACTGTATCCCTAAAAACTACCTAACGTGGATAAAGGTCCTTATAAACTATCTAAAGTAGATAAAAAGTCCCTATAAACTACCTGAAGTAGATAAAAAGTCCCTATAAACTACCTGAAGTAGATGAAAAGTCCCTATAAACTACATGGTCCCTAAGGTCTCTATAAAATAACCTGAAGTGCATGAAAGGTCCCTTTCAATTGCCTGAAGTAGATGCAAGGGCCCTATAAAACAACCTGAAGTAAATGAATGGTCCCTAAGGTCCCTTTTAACTACCAGAAGTAGATGAGAGGTCCCTAAAACTATCCAAAGTAGATGAAACGTCCCTAAAAATAATCTACGTGGATGAAGGGTTCCTGACAACTACTGAAATAGATGAAAGGTCCCTAAGGTCCCTATTAACTACCTGAAGTGAATGAAAGGTCCCTATAAATTACCTGAAGTGGATGAAAGGTCCTTTTGAACTATCTGAAGTAGATAAAAAGTCACTATAACTACCTGAAGTAGATGAAAGGTCCCTAAGGTCCCTATAAACTACCTGAAGTGGATTACAAGGTCCCTAAGGTCCCTATTAACTACCTGAAGTGGATGAAAGGTCCCTAAGGTCCCTATAAACTACCTGAAGTGAATGAAAGGTCCCTAAGGTCCCTATAAAATACCTAAAGTGGATGAAAAGTCCCTATTAACTACCTGAAACGGATGAAAGGTCCTTAAGGTCCCTATAAACTACCTGAAGTGGATGAAAGGTCCCTACTATGTGCTTGGAATGAAAGCAGATCTTCATAATGAAGTGGAGAACCATCTGGGAGTTTCTGAAGCACTCTCTCACCACTAGAATATAAAGTCATTAATAAAACGACAAATATCTATAAAATCAGAGTTTTTAACAAATGTATAAACTACATAGGATAAAATAGCACCCTCATCTCCAATAGTTCTCGTCTTAAATCTAATTAATTGAAATGTTTTGTTATCATTATTCAAGTTAGGTGGAAAAAATAATCAAAACAGCCAAGAGCTATTTTCCACCTAATTTCTTATTACTTGTTATATTAAAATAATTATCAATTTGTAAGTGTAAAATCGTTCTGGTTACACAACTACATATACTTTAGCAATTTTTCTTTCCTCCCTTCCTCCACTAGTAGAGGGGATATAAGTTCCAAAACTAACACTTGGCCCATTTCTAAAACTAATTATGAAATGGGCCAAATCTGCAAAGTTATCTTTTTCAAGAGTATATATCTTTAAATCCAAGACGAGTAGAACAAAATTACAACATATATTTTTAAAAAAATGGCTAAAAATATATATTGAAATAATAAATGTCAATTTCAAACTTATAATAAGGTGAGAGAATTAGTTCTTAATGATTCTTGATTTCATTTTCGAACATATCCCTATTTTGAAACAATTACCGGATTTCAGCTCATGTCGCGTTTTCGGCACATATCCTGGTTTTGAGACAATTACCAGAATTCATATCAATGTCAATTTTTAAGCATTTACGCACTTACGTAACAAAACAAGATTTTTTGATAAGGTAAAATATAAACAAAATAGGAAATAAAAAGAACCGGTTCTTAANAAAGCTAACGAGATGTTGAAGTTAGTTTAAAATGCTTGAAAATAAATCATCGAGATTCTCTAATTTAACAGTTATGAAAGTGAGATTTGTTTTGATTTGTGGATTATACTTATAAACGGGAAAGTGGGGTTTGACTCGAAAACGCGACAATGTTTCAAATTTAGGATATGTTCCAAAATGGAAAACCTAACATTGTCTTGAAAACGGTCAAGAGATTTAATTTAAAAAGAACTCTTATTATAATTTCAATTTTTTTAAAAGTTTACAAATGTATCATTTACTCTCAGATAAATTAGAATCAATGGAAATTTAAACCCCCGAGGGATTCAATGATAAACCCGAGGGCGTAATTTGTCAGAGAGTAAATGACATTCCTTTGTAAAAAATAACAAATCATTTTTATTATTTATTTTTATTTTTGAAAGGGGCGGGATTAAATGAAAAATGTTGCATACCATAAAACCAGCTTTTTATAAAGGTATGGGAATTGTTGTCCTCGTCACGTTTAATAAAATGTTGGTTATAGTTTTTATTTTCGACTTTTACTCTGGATATGGGCCGGGATCCAAAAAACCCAGTCCTACAATTTGTGACCATTTCTAACACTCAGTGTTAGAAATTGGCCAAGTGTTAGTTTTGGAACTAATGTCCCTTGTAGTAGTAGTTTTTGCTTAGTAGGACTTCGTCCCGAAAGATAAAGATAAAAAACTTTTTATCATGTTAGTGCTGAATCTTCTTTTATTTAAACCTCTTGCTGCCTAATAGGCCTGATAGGCCTAATATGCCTAATATGCACTGTAGAGGGTTAATGAAAAAACATTTGAATAAACATCAAAAATTTTACCGAATTAAAACTCAGAATTACTCCTATTGCCCTTTCTTTAACATACAAAATTCAATGTTCAAATTTAAATTTCCCAAAAATTTACAAGATTACAGGGGGCGTAATTTTCAGTGATTCTACATTATTGGAGTGGCATGTATTATTCACAACTATACCGGTAAAAGCTTTATATGATCAAAAATTAATCAGATTTTAAAAGTGAATTATTTAAAACTGTAATTTGCCGGAGGAAATTGACAGAATAGAACACTTAAAGTAAGTAAAATAATCATATCTTCTACATTATTGAAAAGAAAAAAGTTCCAGGGATACTGCTAAGTAAAATAATCATATCTTCTACATTATTGAAAAGAAAAAAGTTCCAGGGATACTGCTGTGATTCTATTGTACCCCTCATTAAATGAAGTCAATTTAATCCCAACAACAGAGGTACCTCCTTTCGTATTTTGAGCATTTAACAAGAGTTAAGCGGAAAAAACCCTAATTTAAAACAGTATAAGACAATAAATGGCAATATCTTAAAAATCAGTATTTTTATTTGCAAGCAGAATAAGTCTTTTTTCGGGTGGTGAGGGGGTACTTTACTACAGGAGAAACAAAGATTTTTATGGAGGGGGGAGGGAAGAAATTATTTTTGGTAAAAGCTGAGATCAAATTCCTCCCCGATTTCTTTAAAATTTATACCCCTGGTTTAGGTGACTGTATAGATTAAAATTACTTTAAATAAGCTGGGATGTCAGAAACAACAATTATTACTAATTAATTCCAGGCGGACAAAAGGCAACAAATACTAACAAAAATAATTTAGCTTCCCTGCGATGGTAATTATAGTCTTTTTCTGATTATTATCAAATCCTCAATATTCTAATTTCAAACAATTAAGTATAATTATTTTACAGCTTACGTTCTATTAAAAAAACAATTTTCTTCTTACACTCAGAAATTGAATTTCCGCTAAATATACAAATCATTCATGCGCTATGTGCAAGAAAAGAATTTAAATGCAAAACTGACATTCTGACGGTATACAAAATAAATATGTATGGTTGTGTGGGGAGGGGAAGGTTGGGGTAGGGTTAATTTAAAAAGAGGTAGGGTTTGGGATTTGCGAATAATAGAATTTATTTTTTTACTTTACAGTAAAATTTTGCTCCGCTGATCCATAAGAGGGGATCGAATACACGGAAATCAGATGATCCTGGATCCATTACAGGGGAGAAGTTTTCGGAATCAGCTAATCCTTAAAAAGGGATTAATCTCGAATATCAGTTGATCCTTTGAAGGGGATTAGTATGCAATTAAACTGATCTATAAAAGGGAATCGGATCTGCATAATCAGCTGATCCGTACAAGGGAAATGAGTCTACTAAATCAAATGATCCAAAGGGGAATCGTATAAAAAAATCCGCTGATCCATTAAAAGGGATCAGCCTACATAATCACCTGATCCATTAAAGGGCCTCAGTCTACAAAATCAGCTGATCCATTAATGGGGATCAGTTTACAAAATCAGCTGACCAATTTAGGGGATAAGTCATCAGAATCATATGATTCTTTAATGGGGAATAGTGTGCCAATAAGCTGATTTATCAAAGGCATCAGTCTAAAAAACCTGCTGATGTAAAATCAATCGTATAAATAAAAAATTGTAATCTATATTTGTCTGTTTGTTTGTCCGATCATAACTCAGGAACCCCTTGGCTGATTTGCCTCAAATTTTTATTGGGGATCTCTGTGGGACCACGAGAATGTTCTTAGCTTGGTTTTGAAATTCTAAATTGAGTGGGTCCACTTGTCTTAAGAAAAAAGCTAAATCGTAATTAAGGACAAAGCGCGGGTAATCGGTGGGATTAACAATAACTACCCTGGGCAATGCTGGGTTCCCAAGCTAGAATAATATTTAATTCCCTATACCTGATACTACGGATTAAGTCGGTTTGATTAATCTTCTGAGCAGCATGAGCTGAAGAGAAAACAAATAATTGTTTAGTGAAAGTGGCAAACCCCTGTCAGTGTCCTTTAATTTAAAATATAAAATTCGTCCCATGTGCAAAGGGACTGAAACCCCCGTGGGAAAAATAGACGATACTTTGGCTTAGCCCATTGTCCGCATAGCCTATTGATTGGTTTAGCCTTTCTGACATTATTTAAATACCAACACTGAGACTGAGCCAAATTTATATTTATATAATTTAGAAAGATGTATTCTCTGCCTGCTGATAAGCTTGGACGTCCTCCTGGTGTCAGATTTAGACTAGGCTGTCGATTCAGTGCATCCTGAAAAAAA